TATCAGTTCATCAATTTATTTTCACCAATTTGGTTGTCCTTGGGTGCCGCGAGGACATCTTTATAGGTTGCTATGGGAACGCCATTCTTGATAGTATCTTGTGTAGCCATGGACACTGAACAAAGCTAAATGTTGTTTCAGAGCATGTCTGTGCCTTTTGGTATCATGTTGACAGTCAGTTTTTCTTCAGCCAGAGTGAAATGTTGGTGTCATATGTCGTCTGGATTTCAGATTTAAATCATTTTTTTTTTTTCTGTTGTCTGCATAAACTTGCAAGACAGATGTGCTTCACCACTGCAAGAACTGTCTGATCGGATACCTTTTTCTCCACTTGGATCTCTACTTTTTGATAAGCTGCAGAAACTGTCACCAAGATCCTGGTCTGATGATTAATGTTGACACATTGTGCTGCTCGAGGACTAGATATGGACAGCTCTGTGACTCATTCGCTTTCTAGAATGCAAAACTCTATCAAAAGAGGTGTGGTAAAAGAGCCATGAAGACAGAATGTCGTGACTTCTTTTACCCTGGAAAGTACAGATCGTTTGGATTTCTATCCTTTTCTTCCAAGAACTGTCAGAATGCCCTTGGTGGACATTTAGCCTTGATCTCACACAATAGCTTGGTTTAGGCATTTGTAACATCTTTGAAAATCTGTTTAAATGATTATATGTTACATATATAAGCTCTAAACACAAATTATTCTCCTTGACATTCAACTTGGCTGCAACTAATGAGTATAGTTATATTTTCATTTGATATTCCACAAATGGTTTACCTTATATAATATTTGTACAGTCCTTGTGTTCTTTACGGTATTCCTTTTATATATATTTACGGTGTTCCTTTTATATATATTTTATTCAGTTTATTTTATTTTTTTACAAAAAGGCAGCAAGTTTCCTTGAACTTTTGGTAGATTTAAACCGAAAGTAATTTTACGAGTCAAAAGTTAATTCATAAATTGCTCTGACAGATTCAGTATTGGATTCATCAGACCACAAACCTGAGTTTGAGTCGTTTTGAACAGTTGATTAAAAGAATCCACTTCAAGGATTCTTTTGTTTTGTGAGTGGGATCGTACTGTAATATATAATTCATTTTGTCCTGCTGTAGATTTTTGCTCTGTCATGTAACTAAATGAAATTGATTATTGATTTGTGCAACAATTATTGTACATACGGATTTATGAAAGCAGGTTGCATATTTCTGTGTTGTCCGAATAACTTTCTCCAGAAGGGTTGCATGTGCAGTGCCAACCCAACTAATCGATTATGTAATTCATTATTGAATTTTTCATGGTCACATTGTATTGATTAGATAATGCAAGCTTATTTTCATTCTTATCCACCTCCATGATCAGACTATAAAGTCTGCTGCGTAAGTAATGTTGTCTTGGTACAATACAAAATAAAGTGTTGCCTATGATGGAGGATGTCAACTCTGGGTGGTTCAATAATAATCTTACATGTTTTGATAGAATGAATGTTGGAAGTAGGAAGGCATTGCCCCAGCCTGTTTTCATGTAGCTGTCACGATTATCCCAGGATTTGATTTGTAGAATACTTGCATAGAACTATTTAACCCACTGAATCTCCTGCTCCCAGGAGGATTACTAAAATCCTAATCTACCCTCAACAGTGCTTGAATGTCACTGTTAAAAGATGTCATTTCTCAAAGGTGACCGATATTGTGAAGGCTGTTGCAATGAGCAAAACGAGCTTGGCATTTTAAAGGTGTGCTGTGCTGTAGATCAAATGAATAGCTTCATGCTCTGTGCTCTTGTGCATTATTATAGTTGAGAAATAGTGTCCTTGCTGTCTGTGAAGTTTATAATAGATAATAGCAATTGTTATACTCTAATTTTTGTAGCAGAATAAACATGACTTTAGGGATCCAAAGCTGCTGTAGGTAACTTTTATAAAACATTTTTTTTTTTTTACATATTTGTTTAACTGTCATTGTTCTGATATAATTTTAGTAGAATATGAGACAGATAATCTGTGAAAAAATCAAGCTCCTCTGGCTCCTCCCAGTGGCTCTATTGCCATTTGCAGAAATTCACTGCTTCCGGTCAGAAACAACCAATCAGAGCCAGGAGGAATGTCTTGGCAGAGTCAATCACGCTTGTGTATGCGCTGATCACACCCCTCTCTTGCACAGCGCGTACCGTCGTTCGAACTCAAAACAGCGGTGGTAATGGCGGCGAAACAACCTAAACTGCCAATTTCTCGAGTGGCACCTGCTCATAAAACAAAGACGGGTAAAAGGAAAAAGACTGATGATGATAAACAAGCGAAAAAGAAAGAATTAGACCCATTGACTCGGTGTCAAAACTAACATAGATAAAATGTCACGCACTGTGCAAAGCAACAATTGAAACCTGCCAATTCACTAGCTTGTCATGTTGCTGAAATAATGTTGCGGCGAACAAGACGAGGCCGAGGGATGTGAGCGGCGCTGTGAGACACACCAGTCTCGCATCTCTCATGGAGGAGCGGAAGCATAAAAGAGGAGTGACGACAGTGAAGATCAAGAGAGGAACAGGCCTGATTTTACGTTGTGATTTTATGTTCTGTTTTTTGTGCCAGCAGTCGTCTGTGAGGGGCTGCTGGCTTATACTTTGATTTTATATTTGTTTATTTATTATTAAACTTGTTGAACGTTCGCCAGTTCCCGCCTCATTCACATAACAACTGAATCCCGTTACAAATGTACTAGCAAACCTTATCTAGCATTAAGTCTACATATCACTAGAATAATTACATACTGTTACGTTAGTTACCGTTATATTTTCTTGCTAGCTATTTATAACTTATGTTATGTTACATTACATGTATTGCAAAATATGTAATGATTTGAGGACCAAGTTTGTAGTCAAAGTATGGGCAGGCCGTAGTCAATGTAAAGCATATTGTTGATGTTTCGTCCCTACTAGTGAATGGGCCACTGGTTATCCGCTGGCTAGCCTGAGCATCCAGATATACACTAGTGTGTTTGTATGTCTGTGCATGCTGTATACAAACACATATGTATACATGTGTGTGTGTGTGTGGTGTGTGTGTGTGTGTGTGTGTGTGTGTGTGTGTGTGTGTGTGTGTGTGTGTGTGTGTGTGTGTGTGTGTGTATATGTATGTGTATATATATAGATAGATAGATAGATAGATAGATAGATAGATAGATAGATAGATAGATAGATAGATATGAAGAGTTCAGATGCAAAAGCCTCTAAATGTCATTTGAAATTTCTTCTTTAATGATGATTTTTATCAAACTTGTATATTTAAGTTCAGTAATTTCACTTAAATAACAATTAATAGGTAATTATCATTGCCATTTAAGTGAAATCACTGAACTAAAATAAAGAAGAAAATTGGCATTTAGAGGCTTTTGCATCTGAACTCTTCATATATATATATATATATATATATATTGATATACAGTAGATATATAGATATATATAAATATACTTTAATAACAATTAAAATAAGTCATTGTCTTTTCGTCTCATCACATTCAACTCATCTTTGCTAAAGGTTTATCGGTAATTCGTTGCAGGAATTAAAGGTTTATCAGTAATTCAGTGCAGGAATAATGTGTGCGTTCTCAGTTTGTCTTGTAAAATATTTAGATTTGGCTCTGAAACCAAGCTCAAAGCACAGTTAGTTTTCTGGTCTGGTTGTTTGAACTTTGCTGTGACCTTGCAGATTCAGCAGAGAGGAATTCAAGATAAGCTCAATGCTCGTCATTGTTAGACTTGGAGTAAGCAGGTCTCAACTTCGCTCCGATTTTTACATCTTGAGCAAATCCCATGTCCATGTCTATGTCAATGTACACCTTTCGTTCTTATTTAGTACACACAAGTAGTATATACAGAATGTTGAAATACAGAACTTGTATTGGGTAATAATGGTGAAATGGGTTTATATTGTGGTTTAATCTTTCAAATACGTTTCTCACAGACAGCAGTGTCTGTATCTTTTTTTTGACCCCAGTGTGTCAATACTTGATGAAATTCCATTCAGCACCTGCTGAGAGACATAAAATGGGGTCCAGGTGGCTGAAAGAAACACAATTAAAATGAGACAAACAGGAAGGCATGACTGCAGAAAGGGGCTATGTTCAAATTGTGGTTTGTAAAAACAGCCCAATAACGAGTCATAGAATCCACTTTTACTTTCATATGCATATCTGAACGCCGGAAGACGCATACGAAGCAAACTTTCTCATAATTTACTTCTCATTATCTAACATTCTAGTGAATAAACAAGATGTAGAGTAGCTAGAGGACTATATTTTCTTGACGGTGAATGTAGCTTTGAAGGATGTTAGACTTGATGTTGACATTATATAATTAAACTACAAATTAAACTTTTCTAATGGTCTTAACCAACTTAGTCTACTTTCTAACAATATTGTGTATGTATATACTGCGCACATGAGTAGGAATGAAAAATGAGAACATTCTGCTCTTCATACTGTCCCTGCAGAGACTTGTGTACTTGTGTAAGTGCTTGCTCACAGTTGTTTGTACTGACACCCACATCCATACATCTCTAAGCAGGCAAATGCCTTTGTGAATTTTGGAAGAGCGCTGCATACTGTACATCACATCTGAGGAGGAGCCATAGAGAAACCCATTTACTAGAGAACTCTATTCTACCCTGATGCACTTCAAAGGGCTTTGCTGTTCTCTTTCTGATTTCCATATTGTTGATAAGCACCTGGCTCATTTAAAAGTTCCAATCTTGCATTTCAATTGTCAAAATGTTAATGGCATTTGAGCTCGTTCTCTTCAAGTTCCTATTCGCCAATAAAAAAAAGGTGAAGTTATTGATGTTTGCTGAGGACAGACCACACTATTTCTATTTAAACGGAGGCCAAGATTTAATTTCTCTAAGTATCCTTGAGTGTCCTGGAAGGGTGGTAAATCAATTATTTTGTATCAATATTTATTCCCATTCCCATAATGATCTCTATCTCTCCTCTACTCTTTACAGTATGAATTTAAAGTGAAGAATATCAAAAAGAAGAAAGTCAACATCATTGTGTCCGTGGACGGGGTGAAAGTAGCGCTGAGGAAAAAGAAAAAGGTAAGCCTCTGTTTATTGATTAGTTATAATTTACACGGATTTTTCATTTTAAAGGATAAGGCTTCACTCATTTATTCATTTGTTGTTTGTTGTTGTTTTTTAATTATTCATATGCGTTTTTATTTTTATTTTATTTATTTCTGTGTTCATTTTAATTATTCTTACAAAGTGGTTTAGTGACACTTTTTAACATTGTTTATATTATGGTTTTTCAAGCATCAAAAACAGACAGACCTTTCATACAACAAAAATTTGTGCAATATGCGAAATTAAACGGAGGATGAGGAATTATACAAAGTATAATCACAATAATTACAAAAAATGAATGTTACAAATCTGAAATAAATAATGGATAAATCATTAGTCCTTGTGGCTGGACAAAAAAGAAAATTTGTCGAATTTTATAGAATTTCCAGAAATAGTGCATCTAATTCTTTCCAGGTGTAATATAGAAGTCCAGATAGCCAGAAAAGAGGAATGTAGTATTTTTCTTCCACAAAAGCAGGATAGCTTTCTTAGCTACAGTCATACCAAATCGTACCTTTAGACTGAGAGACTCCAGTAAGTCTGACCAACCAATAATTGCTATCATTGGATCAGGAAGTAAAACACAATTACAGACCCTGGCAAAAAAAAAAAAAACTGGAAAATATCTAGCCAAAAACTCTGAATTTGTCCACAGAACCAAAAAAGGATGTGCCAGAGTACAGGTTTACAGGTTTACATGCATCACATATTGGGCAGACAGAAGGATAAAATTTTCTAAGCTTTATTTTAGAATAGTGAAGTCTATGTAGTAACTGTAGTAAATGCTACAAATTTAAATCTATAATTCAGTTATTACAGGCAAATACTTTTGCTGTGTGAAGTAAATTGTTTGCAATACTTTTAACTGAATGTTAATGCAGGATGATGCACATGAAATGCACCAGGAACTCTATATCAGTATTCCGTGTGATGTTAAAGACTATAGAGAGTCTTTGCAATGATATATAATCGACTTTTAAGGATTAAAATATTGTGCTATAAATAGTTTTTGGGCTGTATAGTACAAAAGTTCATATTGGTAGTTAGCACTAAATTAGCCTGGGAAAACCCACACAACTTCCGGCAAATTTCGATTTGCTCTGCAAGTTAGTCTGGCAAAGAGCTCATTCAAGGCCATTTCTAATCCATCAAAATCGCCAATCAGAAACATTGGGGCACACTTTACACAATGACGACAGCATAGCGACGGTGAAGCAGATTTTGTATATTTACAAAGATGGATGCCGCCGTAGGAGTGTTATAGTTATAGTTGAACACCGTCATTAGAACTCTATAACCACCAAAACCATGTTAAACTTTTTTTTTCACATTTTTTATCATAGAGTATGTTTAAATACTAATATCAGCGTACGAGGAAAACGGAGGTGGAGTTAGTGGTGCTTCGGAGGCTGCTACTACTTGAGGTGATTCGGGAGAGGTCTGTGCCCCTTTACCGATCAGAGCATGCACTGATACCGAGTTAAGCCTTGTTTATACTCGACGCGTCCGCACGAGCGCGAAGGTTAGCGCGGCAAAAATGAGAGGATGAACAACACTGTCACCCAGTTTGCAAAGTTAATCGCAAAGTTTTTTTTTTTTTGTTAAGGTTTTGTTTACTGTGTGTGATTTATTTAAGGGAAAGCACATTCACTTCTAGTTGTCTTGCTGTTCATTTTTAAATAAACGTAGAGCAAGTTGCTAATCCGTGTCTGCTCGTTTATTCAAAATAAGTTGTCCGATAACACACGAATGTCGCTCTGCATAGTGCATATGTCATCTCCTTCATCTATCTGATTGGTTTTAGGTCTATCCAATTGCCTCCAGAGGCATTTGAACTACATCATGTTAGTGACGCCCCTTTGGAAATTATTTGTCTATGAAGCTTTGCCAATGCCAGACCATAACTCAGTTACAACTGAGAATGGTCTGGTTTTAACCAGGATAGCACTAAATACATTTTACATAACCTATCTAGAGGCAACTTGATTCAGTGTCAGGTTGTCATGGGTGGATTGCTTAGATTCTACCTCCATTTTTAGCTACAATAACTGCATGTCATAATTTAGATGGGGATGATTGCTATAAGCTTCAAGCAGCCTTAAGCTTAAATACTGAGATCCTGGAGTTTTTAAGATCAAACACACAACACAGTTCTACTTTACTTTGTTCGTCCTTTGGCAAGACACTTTGCTTTAAGGTGGTTTGTCAGGATGGTTTTGTCCTTTAGCAAAATGCTTAGCTCAACGTTAATGGGTACAGTCAGCCATCTTAGATTGCCTTGTGCTGCACATTTAAACCTTAAGTATTGATTTGCACAGTTACTGAAATGATCACTTTGATTTCCTGCAGAAAAAAGAATGGACCTGGGATGAAAGCAAGATGATGGTGATGCAAGACCCAATATACAGGTGCGGAGCTTCATAAAATCACTCTTTTATTTTAACTGCACCCCGCTCTTGACGAATGGATCTGTCAGTCTGAGAGTTAATCTGAGTGTAAGTGAGTCATACCTTGTGTCAGCTCTCAATTAGAGGCTTTCAGTGGGAACGGTAAATAAAACGATTGTCATGCTTTCCCCTAAACCGTGCTCCTAAATATATCACCTTCGCAATTACAGTGGCAGTGTTCGCAGTCAGTGTTTAAGATAGACATTGTTTTACGATCAAGTGTAACTGGATTGGTAACTGAAATCAGTCTCCTTTAACTTGAAGGCACATATTAATAGTAGAGATGGGCATTTTGGTTCTTGCATTATTATTTTTTTAAAATTGTTGATTTGAAGTACAGATCTGTGTCAGATGTTTCTCATTTTTTTGCTGCTGTGTGAAGATAGCCAATGGGATTTTGCTTGCCTTTTACTAATGTTTTGTCCTCCGTCTAATTCTCCATTTCATTCGACCTGGCCTTGATGCATCAGATGCATCCTCAAAGTCTGTAGTTTGGTATTTCTCCCCGTGAGGAGACTTGCTGTGACTGGCTCTCAAATGTCACACACTATCAATGTGCTACATTTCAGATAATAATAAAAGAAGCCAAATAAAGACTCCAATGACGCTCGTAGGCAGAGTGACTTATAGAGAATGTGACTTTCTGCTTCATAGGATTGTGAAAAACGCTTCAGTTAATGACCAGAACATTTTAAAGGTGAAGTCTGGAGTTTTTCCTCTTTGTCACCATCTCTGTTCGAAATTTGCAATTGCAGTCATTCGCGGAATTATCAGCGTTACATGAGTTGTACTTCAACACCCTTGACATGGCACAGCGCGGATGAACCAAGCGGCAACATTCTAATCTGAAAAATGAAGCCTACCTGGAAGTGCGAAAAACTGCAATACATCTAAAATCCGCTAGAGGGAGGTCCCAAAAGGGAGCAAATATCCATAGACAGCATGTTAAAATGTCCGTTTTCACAGCATAAATTCATGCTTTTACAGGTTGGTCCCATGGACTTTTATTGTATTTTTGGATAGGGTCCGAGTGCCTGTGAGGGGTGTGATTTTTTTATTTTATTTTTTTTTTTCTAGCTCGTTAGTTTAGATCGTATTTAGATATAAAATGTATGACAAATAAGGGCGGTTAACTTTGATCGACAGCTGATAATGGGCTGCGCCGAGTGGAGTTTGACGTGTCGGCCATGATCTGACACAACACATTATACCACATCTGTATGCTTTCTGAACATTTGTATTTTGTATTTCCCAAGATTTGCCGCCCATACCCCCTATAAACAGCCTCAAAACTGTTTTTCAGAAAGTCTACGGGTGACGCCACAGATGCTTAGTTGAACAGTGACTTATGTATTTTCTCAAATATGTATTTTGGATCATTTTTAACCCCCAAAAAGCTCAGACTGCAGCTTTAATAAATGAGACTGAGAGATTTAATTGCACTCTATTTCATTTAAGTAATTAGACAGTGGGAGGCTCAATTAACACCAGATTAGTCTTTCGATTATGCAAATTAGGACATTGAGTGTTTTGCAAGATTGGAAAAATCAATGTACTTTATCTCAGTGTATTGAACGCAGCCTTATAGTTATGTTTTGGAGTTTCTCAAGGTGAATCAAAGCGAATTTTGCGGAGCAGATCAGTTTATGTGCTGTTTGCCGACTGTGTCTGCCAAATCCTGGATCATGAGATGTTGTGGTTAAGAGTTCAAATCTCTGGATTAGTTGAAAGCAGGCAGCAGAACCCTTGTGGTGACTGTCATGTTTGGACTGCAAGGTCATTGTTACCTTACAGCCATTTGCAGCTCACTTACTGTGTTCCTCTAAGCTTTGCTGAGGAGGATGCAGGACCCAATTTACCAGTCGCTGACAGACTTGATGAAAAATGAGGGGACTACCACACTATATCATCTGTATTAATCTTTACTTGCACTTATGCCCTGATACTAAGCATCAGAATGATTTACAGCTGGCAGGGAACAACTGCATTGTCACAAAAACATCTACCAGTGGTAACCACAGGACAGTCTTATAAAACTTAAAGTAGAAAGATGACAAACCAAGCTGATTCATTGCCCGTGATCTGATGGCCGAGATGCAATCTTTTCCTTGTATCCACAATAGCAGCCACCTGGAGTGTGAGTATTTTATCTAGGATTTAGTTGATCCATGTGACTCAAGGGCATTCGGTGAAATGCGGTCTGGTTGGTTTGTCTGTAAAAGGCATAGAAGTATAGAGAATGAAGATATCATTTTGCACTGATTCTTTCATGAGTCTGTCTTTGGGTTGGGAACAATTTGAGAAATTATTGATGATTGTAAGTGGCTATGGAAGTAGCGGCTATTAATGAAAGAAGCTTTTAATAGCCACAAAGAATATTGAGTTTTTGCATTTGTTTGGGAATGGAGTTTAATGTATATGTAGTATTTGTATGTAGGTCATGAATATTTTTATTTAAAACTTTTTAGACAATTTTGTCATTTAATAATTCATGAAATACTCAGTGTTTAAGATTTTATATGAAAAAAAGTATATTTAACTTTCAGATTTTCTTTTGAATTTTTAAAACTTTTTTTTGTGTGTGTATATTTGCATATGTAGGTTTGGGGTCAATAAGACTTTTTTAATATACAATTAATCAGGACATATTACATTTATCAAAAGTATTTTTGATCAATTTAATTGATATTTCATAATGTTACAAAATATTTCTAATATGTTAAGTATTGTGTGACACTAAAGGCTGAAGAAAAAACAGCTTTGCCATGAAGTATGCACTACATTTTGAAATATATTAAAAAGAAGAAAACTGTTATTTTAAATAGTAATAAAATTTCACATTCATATTTGCTGTTTTATTGTATTTTTTATCAAATAAATGCTTTACCCTAAACATTTTAATGGTAATCCTAATCCCACTTTAAAAATCACCTCTTCAGTTTTATTAGCTCAGTCAGAATTAAACTTTCCCTTGTACATCTGGGAATTGTAAGAAAACCAGTGGGTCTTAGCGTGCCGCACAAGCCCTCAAAAATGAAGCCAAATGTCTTGATCGCCCCCCTGTGACCAGTCCTAGTATACGTCATAAATCCCGCCTCCCCATGTTATTCAACGGGATGCGAGACCAACTAAACAATTAAATTACAGTTCACATATCCTTTTATTTTCCAAAGATAGTTTCTGTCATTTACTGTCGTTTCTATCACGTTGATGTAATTTCAAGAGTTTGTTTTTAAAATAAGTTTGTGTTTACATCAACTCTTCATATTTCCTGGATCACAGTGTTGGGATCAGTCCAAAGCAGTAGCCAATATCTACATCAGCACTGCTGAAAAAGCCCCAGAATGCTTCATCTCCCAGGCAACATGTGAGCGCAGCCTCCCCATTAGTATATGAAAAGCTTTCTCGGTCGTCCTTGCTCAAGGGCGTGTGTGTGTTTGTTTGCATGTTGATGACACTTTTTTTTGTTTTTGTTTTTTTCTTATAAATACACTTCCATTAGTGCTGGAGTATCCACCGCAAGCAGCCGATAATACGTGACTCCGTGATTAAAACCAACTCCATCATAACGGATACCAGACTGGCATCTTCATGTTTATGCAAGTTTTACAGAATTGGCAGGCATGTGACATTTCTCCCAAATGCATCTCTCTCGTACTGCAGATCATTCGTTCTCTCTCTTATTGTGTAAATAAATATGGTCGTGGGTGATGTTTGGTGGTGTAGATGTGATAATTCATCCATAATCCTCACATTCCTTTCACCAGTATCATTGGTGAAACAGCTCGCACAGTCTCAGCAAGAGAAGGAATATATTACAGTATGTACTAGGCGAAAAGCACGTAATCTCAGGATGATAAATAATGATGAGTGGCTGGTTTTATACGTCCAGGCTCCGATCAATGAGTTTATGAGTCTACCGCATTGCAATGTACACCTAAACAATGTAGTCTGTGTGGCTGAGTGCCATCTGAAAGAATAGACCAGCATGTGAATCAGCCCACCCATCTCAATTATAAATGAGACTTTTATCTGATCAGAACAAGACAGGGACTACATGCATGGACACTGGCAGGTTTTGATATGTCCTGGTGCATTGAAGAGTTGGAATTAAAATGTGACTTTCAGCTTACCTTATGTGATGACTTTGTCAAGGTTGGAGTCCTGTATGCATATCTTTGTTTGTCATCTGATGGATTTCATATTTTGCTCTATGTACAATTTAACTAAATGTTGTCAACTAGTTCAGGTCTCAATTCACATCAAACTTAAAACCATTGTTTTCTTCTATATTGCCTGTGTAGTTGAAATTTTACTGTATTTTTTATATGAAACGCTCCTTTAATATAACAAGTCATAATTACATCAAGTCATTCTGACCAGTGGTGTTTTCCTTTTCTTTTTCAGTTATTATATGCATTACCGTTCAAAAGGTTGTGGTCGGTTAGATTTTTTGGAAGTCATATGCTCTCCAAGGCTGCATTTATATGATCATAAAATGCATTGAAACAAAATAACAATTTTTACAGTTTTCTATTTCAATATGTTTTAACTTGATTTATTCATGTTGGATGTCAAAGCTGGTTCAGCATCATTTCTCCAGTCCTCAGTGCCAATTTTCTTAGGGTTCCCACGGGTCCTTGAAATCCTTGAAAGATTGTGAATCTGAATTTTTTGTTTCAAGGCCCTGGAAAGTTTTTGAAAATAAACATACATAGATACAGGTCCTTGAAAGTGCTTGAAATTATTTTGTGCAAGAAATTTTCCAGAAAAAAATCCATATTATGCCCTCTGCTCCACTAATGTGTTATTTTGTCAACACTTCCTAGCCTAAGATTACTAGCTTGCTTGATTTAAGTTAGATACGTGCATTTATCCTTTCCGCGTGAGGTACTTTTTGTACATTGCCATGACGTTCACTCACGCAAAACTAACAATGTATCCTACAAGGTAACAAGATG